TGTCACAGTACAAGAGCCCCAGTCACAGCATCGCGCATTTCCTCCAGGTCAGTCCCGGTCAAGTGCCGCGACAGAAGCAGACGGCATGCCGTGGCGCCATGACTCAGCGAGAGCTTTGGATTTCGGGGTATCAGTGACGGCGCTGATCAGGAGGGGGTATCTATGAAGTTCTCAGTCATTTGCTCGGCATGCTCTTGTGTCCAATTTCGGGCACTTGGCCCGAACGTGCTGTCGGCGCGTCATTTCTGGGATCATTTGACGCGGGTTGGTCTACGCCGCGCGACGTTGCCAGCGCCCGCGCCATGTCCCATCTCGACGCGCGCCCCCGACGTCGCCTTCACCCTTGACGGGGGCGAGGGAGCCACCTCCCAGTTGATCTCGGATGCGCTCGCCAATGCCGACCGCGCAGGAGACGAGGGGGCGCGCAGGTCCATGTCAGGCGCGTTGAGTTGTTTTTTCCATGAGGGGGCATGGCGCCAAATCCCTCATCTTATGGTTCGCAGTGAGAGTTAGATATCCTGGAGTCTCAACGGGCGAAGTGGAGGTTGTAGCGGCGTCAGTTGCCTTGCGAGGCGTGGCTCTCCCTTTGGCTTCCGTATTGGATGTCGTTCGTGCGTCGATTGGTGCGACGATTTTCGCTCAGTCGCGGGGCGACGCCGAGGTGGCCGAACGCGTTTTCGCAAGCGGGCGAAGCAAAGCCGCGAGGTACTTGCGGAAGGCCCATCGCGCCAGCGTCCACTTGGCCTATGACGTTTTGAATCTCCCAGGAGTTCCTGACAAGCGCGCGGGGGGCGGCGAAAATTGCCCGGGCAGGTTGACCCGGAACTGCGCGCTTCATCGGGGGCGAGACTACGACGCCCACCCCGCAACGCAGATGACAGCCAGCGTTCATGATTTGTGACGCGACGTTTGCCGCTGGGCCCTTGCGCGCCGAGCGCGTGGCATCGCAGGCAATGTCTTGGATGAGTTGCCGACGCTTCGCGGCAGCGGCCTTTGCGGGGGCCCAGCATTCCCGGCGCCTGCGCGCGGCCATCGAAGCCGCCACCATCCATGAGCATGCTCGTGCTCGTCAGCGCGGGCGAGATCGGCCCGCGCGAATGCGCGGCGCCTCTCTCGGCGATTCGTTTGGTCCGCTGTCTCGCGGGCACGCGCAGCATCCACCAGACGCGCGCGATGTACACCCACCCAGACGCATGTGTACACCCACCAGAAAATACATGCACCCAGCCAAACATGGCGCGTGCTTCAGGAAAGCGACGCGTGCATTCACCAAGCGCGGGGCACCAAATATTGGCGCATTTCTGGGGGCGAAAACCCACGGGCGTCGCGCCGCCGCTGCAACGCGAGCCGCGGGGCCGGTTCAATGAGCGATCCACGAATTGCTTGGGCGCGCTCCCATGCGGGAGATTCGGGGTTGCGCGGTCCTGCGCTCGTGGCCTGCTCGGCCGTCTGCATCCTGCCGGGCGTTGCCGACGATGGAGATGCGACGTCGGAGTACTGTTTGGGGCCATCCATTTTCTGCCAAATACATGCATACATGGGCGCTGTAAGGCGGGGTGGGTGTCGATATTCCATTGGCCACTTCATGGGGCAGGCTATCTCATCAGACGACAAGCAGGCGATGGCCGCGGTTGCCCCCGAAACGAACAAGGTTTTCAAACAGGGTGCCTGTAGAACGTGGGCATCGCTGGACATGCCCCTCCTGCGTCTTCCCATGCGCCTTGACTGCGAGGTTCGCCAGCTTGTGAAGATCTCGCTGCCCCGCCGCGGCGCGCAGTCAGTTCTGAACGTGGGACCGTCTGTGGTTGTAGCATTTCTGTTGATCATACCGGGCCAGTGCTACCAGAGATCTCTAAGTTCAAGTCTTTGCTCGCATTGCGGAACGCGGCCGCCGATTGCGTCTTCGTGCACCCCATGATGGGCAAAAAGGGCTCCAAGGTGACCGAGGCTTACGATACGCTCGCCTTCGACTATGATTGGGGCTGTGAGTTCCAGCATAGCTTCAAGGCGCATTGCCGCCGAGTGGTTGCCCATGACGAGCGCGGCCTGCCGCGTCGCTCCACCAACTGCGCGAGAGCTGAACGGTGGCATCGGGCGCTCGAGGAGGGCGCGCGTGCAAACTTGTGCCAAAGTGGCCATGGACACCAACGGTATGCCAGGAGCGCTGGCATGTGGGTTGACCATTGAAACCTCCCCGGGTACGATGGCCGTGTATTCCATACTTCCACTCATCCAAGAGAACGTCTTGTTGAGGCCATTCGGTTTGTTATTCATTTGTCTTCAGGACAAGCATTCGGCCATCACCAACCTCCCAAAGATCGAACCACGAGGCGGCTTCGGTACGGTCGTTGGCTACGGTGCGCGGGGGGGCGTCATCGTGTTGAAGCTCGCCCCATTCATCCAGGAAGGTCTCGGGCGCTTCCAGCAAACCGGGGACGTGAAGTTCCCAGCTCGTAGTGAGAAGTTCCCAGTGCGGCATCTTTTCAAGACTAGACTAGGGGGCCCGACGCAGGTTGGCATTTTCTCTATCGTTGTGAGCAGATCCCGGACGACAGCGTGGAGCTGCGCTCCCCGCGCGGCGACGCGTGCGCTACCTTTTTCAGGTTTCTTCGCCAGTGATCCCGTGATTTGCAAGGTCTGCGTGCAAGATGCGCCCAGAAAGTGCGTCACCAATCGGGACGCGCCGGAGGTCCACCGCAACGCCCATGCATTCGACGTTGCCATTGCGTGAGCGCTGATGCAGTCGGAGTCGATGTTGTCCAGTGCTTGGTAGACCTATTGCCACCGTCTCTGGCCGACATCGTTTTTGACATATTGATCGCGCCTGATACGGTCGAGCCTGCTCCATCTGCTATTGGGCCAGATTCCACGGGCTTGAGAATCTCGCTTCAGCTGTTGGCCACATCAACAACCAGGTGGGGAAGGGAACCGCTTCGTCTGAGGAGGCGGTGCAGGGGTTCTGCATGGTCTACAAAGCTGTCCTGTCAAATCCGCCTCCGCTCAGACGCCGGAGGCTCAGGCCGCTACCTGGAAGTTGTTGGCCACGATTGAGGAAATTCAAAATTGGGGACCCATGCGACACCGTCATGGAGCTATGGGAACTTCGTGCTATGAACCATGATGCTTTTGTGGTGTACGCCCATTTTCTATCAGGTGGCAAAGACACGGAGTTTTCCAGACCCGACGTGTTGGACCCGATCCAGGCTTATTTCTTGAAGTGGAAGGCCCGCATCATTGCTGAGAGCGACCGTTCTCTTGATCAGTACGGCCGGCATTATAGGGAGAAAGACCTGCATGGAACATCGACCAATCTCGAAACCGTCCGTCTAGTGTGTGGGTGGGCTACGATGTTTCCTGCACGCACACTTGTGCAGGCTGATGTGGCAGGTGCTTCTCTTCAGTACCAGCTCGGAGGACGGCCAGTATGGATCGTCTTACCTTCGAGCTGGGCCGAAACTGTAGTCCGAGATACGCTACAAAACCCCCGTGCTTCGCCTACTGAAGGCTTTCATACGGATTACAGAGGTTCGGTGTTGATTGAGCCAAGAAGGCTCACAACATCCTTATTGCAGCTGGCTGACCTGTCTTTCCGGATGTTGTCGACGCTGTGTATACCAAACAGGACGGTTCCAAGGTGTGCATCACGGCTTTGTACAAACGACATTTTTGTTGAACCCCTGGATGCCATCAGAGTTTTTTCGTAAGTGCAGGTGGGGCGTAGCAGATGCCAGGACCTGCTTGTGCAGTGAGGAGGCGTCTGGTTAGAGCGGTTGTCATTGGCGCGCACATATCCCCATCGCGGCGTAGCAGCAAAGGCGTAGGCCTGCTGAGGAGTTTCAGTGGTACCTCATAGGCAAGGCCGGCCCCGGAGGGGCCCCCAAGCGGTTACACAGATGCGACCGTTCAGATTGCCGCCATGCTTTCTGCAACCTTTTCAAAAATCAAGCCGCCTAGCGCACCAGTGGACTTGTAGATGTTGCTTCACGCTTGGGCGCACAGCTCGCGACCTGTCGTGCGAGCTGTGGGGGATGAGCGTGGCGACGCCTCACATCCAAGAACGTGGCCACATCTCAGCTGTAGAATGCATTCTAGACCATTTTGGCTCAAGCTGAAGAAACTGACGCGGATTAGTTCACATGCCTGGGAAACGGCAGCCAGAGATTGCAGTCACAAGCTTCGAGAAATGGTTGTGTACGACGATCGACTCGCTTAATAAGCTGCACCTGCCATACGAGCGAGGGGAACTGTATATCGTACCAGCCAACATCGCAGTTAAGCAATTGGAAGACGTTGCAGAGAAGAATCGGCCCGAAGGCTGTTTCTTGGATCGTTTACCGGAGTAGGTTCAATGGAAGGGCCCTCGCAGCCTCCGACATTTTTGGTTACAGGCGCAAGCGCCTCTAAGTGCAAGCGCTGTCTGGAGAACCTGTATCTGCATATACAGGTTTACTAGTACATAAGTTTGTTTGTATACATATTTATACACATGCATACATATATATATATATATATATATATAGACTTTACTTGGGAGCTCCGCGTGGATTTATTGGGTCTGCGCCGCTGCGCTGGGCCCCCCTGGCGGCGCCTCCGGCGCCTCCCCTGGCGCGCTCAGGGAAGGGGGGTCCAGCGCCGATCCGTCTACGCCGAAAAGTTCTGTGTACGCCGCTATTTGTTCTCATATCATCCCAGGTCCTCTTCCATGCCTCCCCGGATGCCCCCTCCTTGTCCGATGGTCCCCAGCTTCCCCGATTCCCGTCTCCCCCTGTTTCGTTTTTCGTCTGCACCTGATTCATGGGGAGCGCCTTAGGCCAGAGGTGCACCAGGGAGAAGTCGGCCAGCTCGGTTGGGCAACGCATAACTGTGAGGAGGCGCTTCCTGTGGCCCTGACGAGGCCGTCCCAGGCTCCAGCGGCCTCAGGGAAGGGAGCAGGACTGCCTGCTGCCGGTGCCACACAGCTTCCGTGCCGCCCGTGCCTCCCTGGGCGGGGCCTCGCGGAGCGGCGCGCGTCTGGCCAAAGAGTCTGCGTAGATTTGTGGGTGCCAGGCTGTGCTCACTCGGGAGTCCCGGGAGTCCCTTTCCGACGTTGGAGCTGGCTGGCGGGCTGAGGTTCGGGGGCGGAAAAGAGGGGGGTGATGACTAGGGGGGGGTGGATATCATGGCGGGGGCCATGATATTTCCCCAGATTTTATTGCGCCTCTTCTTGTTTCGTTACGTCCCTGGCCCCCCCGCTGGGCCGCGCACATGCCGCCAGTTATGATTTGCACCCCCCCGTCTTGGACACCCCCCTCTTGGCCGCTCCCGGGAGGTGGCCCAGCATTGGTTTTGGGCAGGAGGCAGGTGGGAGGAAGGGTAATTAAGTCCGGCATGTCTTTCCGCAGGGGGAATACTCAAGAATGGTAAGAGCTAGTCTGGGGACGATGGTTTGACGTTTGTGGATCATGTTTGGATTACGGTTTGACTATTTATTTCTGTGTGTCCAAACTCCGCCTGTAAGAGGACATGCCCGACCTAAGAGAAAGGGGCCCGCTCGTCGCCACGACTGGACGCGTCTCGATAGACTTGTTCAGTTTCGACCCCAGGAGGGGTCAGAGGTCATCCCCCCTCTTGACAAATTGTCCCTGAGATTATCCAGCTCAGACACCCCAGACGCCTCCAGCCTCCAACGTGACTCCTCAGCAATGTATCTCCTTCTGGCGCCGCTGTTGTCGACACGACGACGCAATTTGCGTGGCACGGTCGCCCGTGCCAGCCGTTTTTGGCAAGCACGCTGCCCTCTCCCTCCTCCTCGTCATCCCTCCTCATCGTTCCGGCATTGTCTCACGAGTTTAGCGGCAATGCGCGTAGCTAAACAATGCAATATGGCGTGTGAGATGTGTGCGGCTGTGGGCAGGTGCGTTTCTTCGAGGAACAACAGAATTGCGCGACACGATCGCGTAGATGCGCCAGCACGCCGCTGGTGGGAGTGTCGGGGAGGCCCCACGAGGAACGCGAGGGTAGAACGACCGTCAGTTATGGGAGGCCAGCTTAAGGCGGGCACCTGGACGAAGCGCACAGGATGGGGTGCAGAGCGGAGTTTCTGGGCGCATTGGAATAGGCTGTTCTTAGCCGTGACACCAGCTTGGGATTCGTGAGGAGCATGAGGAGGAGAGGGAGGAGGAGGAGGAGGAGGAGGCGGAAGAACATGAGGAGAAGGAGAAGGAGGAGGGGGGACATGAGGAGGCACGAGAAGAGAGTGGGGAAGATGATCAGCAGGAGGGAGAAGGGGGAGGGAGAGAGGAGAGAGTTTCGTCGTACACGGCATCACATACACCAGCTCTGCGTGTGCCACCTGCGCCACCCTTGGAGTGGGGCTCGGCACGACCCCCGGGTGCAGGCTCCAGGCTGTGCTGGGCAGGTGCGGCTGGTGCGGCAGCACCGTGCGGAGGAGCAGGCGATCCTTCGACGTGGCCACGCAGACGGAGCCCATAGAGTCGGGGCGCTGAAGAAGGAACCCTTCTCGCTGGGGAGGGGCTCGGTTTTCCTCGATTGTCTTTTGTTGTGCCTCAGGTGCTCCTGAGGTTGTCCATGGGAAATCGCATGTTTCACTTATGGGAAAAGGGGGCCTCGTTCCTTAGCTAGGGTTCCTTAGGTCAACGCACCGATGGTGAACGTCGGAGCCGTTGAACGTCGCGCGGGCGGCTGGCGCGCGCGGCGACTGTGAGAACGCAGGCGGTGGACCCCAGGCCGAAGGCCAACGGCGGGCGCGGAGGTAATCGCCGCCTTGGGGGCTGGGGGTCCCGCCTGCGGGCTGTGCAAGCACTGTTTGTGCGGTCGCGAGTTTATGCATGCACGGGTTTCGGCCCTCGAAGAGCTAAAAGAAAAGCGCCCCGATGGTGACAGAGCGCGAGTACTGGACCATGCCCTTGGCGTCCGACCGCGGCCTCGCGCAGCGCAGAGGCGGAGGTGGCGGCTCAGGGTATGGCCCGCGCCCGTGTGGTGCGCTGGCGGAGCTGCGCCAAGGGCCCCGCCAGACGCCAAGGGGAGGACTGAACGCCGTCCTCGGGAGCCTCGAGACGGGGGTCAGTGCAAACGGGGGTCAGCCAGAGCGCCAGATCCTGCAGGATCCTGCGAAGACCCCCTCTGGCTGACCCGGGTCAGCGAGCCGCTCGTGGCCGCGAGGCGGCCGCGCCTATTGGCTGACCCGGGTTTGCGAGGACCTGCGTTGCAGTTTTTTGTCTTGCATTGCAGTTCTTAGTTTCCTGCTGACCCGGGTCTGGATTGACCCGGGTCAGAAGATCGCCGGCCGACCTCCCCCTCCCTTCCAACCTCCGAATGGTCCCCCAGTTGCCCTCGTCGTCCAATTCTCTTGAGCTTGTCTCCAGGTGATGGGCCCAGAGAAGGGACCTCGCGCTGGTCCGGTGAGGCCCCCAGGGGGGTCGAGGAAGTCGGAGCGGAGGGCCGTTGCTGGGAGCCCGGCAGGCGCGGAGCGCCGGGCGATCGGGTCCCGGGCGAGATTGCTGGCAGCCGAATGGCGCCTGGGGGGGAGCCTCAGTGAATGGCAGCGTCGCGGCCTGGCGCGAGGGGGGGTCAAACCCTGACCTTCCAGAGAGCTGTTTTTTTGGCACGGGAGGCCTAAAAACCGAAAACACGAAACGAAACAGCCCAAAACCAAGACATCGGACAGCTCTGGGATAGGCTTCTGAGTCGAGTGCTAAGTTTTAAGCCCTCCTGGAAGGTCAGGGAAGGCTCTCCCCGCGCGCCCCCGTGCGCACCGCCGCCGCGAGCGAGCGGCAAGAAGCGGGGTGCTCGGCGGGGTGCCCTCGCCCCTAGGAGGAGTCGGCCTGCAGGGGGGGGGGGCGGGCGCGGGGGGGGGCGCTTGCAACGACCGCGCCGATTCCATCGCGGCCCGCTGCCCCTTCCCGGGACTCTGAGGAATCTTCCGGGCCCGGTCGGCCTCGCGCGATCGGCGCCGGCGTCGCGTCGCCCGCGAGTGCTCCTGGCCGGGGACGAGTCGTCCCCGGCCGTGAGCCGGGCAGGAGCGCGGCGGAGGTGCCGCCAGTGGCAGCACCGCAGGGAGGGCGGGCGGAGGTCCGCGGCCTCGGGGAGGAGCGGGCCTCTGGCGCCGCAGCAGTAACTATGACCATCAGGAGGAGAAAAGACACACAGACACAATTTATCGTCGATCCCCAGGGAAATATGCGAAAATATGGGAAGTGGGGGGGGAGACAAACACCCAGAAAATATGGGAAAAGATGGGGACTCGGGCCGGGCGAAAGGGGGGGGTTGGGAAAGGGGGGGTTACGAAATCTGCTGCATGCAGCTGGTTTCGGCCGCCGCCGGCCCATTCCTCGATACATGGGCGCCTCCGGCGCCGGGAGGCGCCGGGAAAATCAGCTACGTGAGCTGATTCTCAAACCCCCCCTTTTGCTATCCCCCCCTTTCGCCCGACCCGAGAGACTATTACCAGCCTGGAGCATATCCCTATCCCTATGCTGGGCACCTCCTCATCGCGATGCCAATCTTAGGCATTCCCTTATTTTTTGAGGGCGGGTCCCTAAGATCGTCACCGCCTTCTGGCGTGTCAGTCTTAGGGATAGTTAGGGATGCGTTCGAGGCTGGTAAGACTAGGGGAACAAAAAGTGGCATGAACATAAAAACTCGGAGGTCCGCGCGGAGTTCTCGGATCGGCGCTGGGGCCCCCCGGCGGCGCCTCCGGCGGCGCCTCCGGCGCCGCCCCTGGCGCGCTCCGCGCGCCAGGGAGGGGGGTCCAGCGCCGATCCGAGAAATCCGCGCGGACCTCCGAGTTTTTATGTTTATGTCACTTTTTGTTCCCCTAGAGGCGTCCTCACGCAGGGTCTCAGGCGCGCCGAGCTCGCGACACCCGCGCAGCTGCGCGCGCGGCGTTGTCATCAGCACCCGCCCTCTCTGGGAGGCGCACTGGCGGTGAGAGTCGAGCAGTAACGACACGTCCGGGCATCCTTATAGGCCTGCCAAACAATGTTCGTAGAGCCTCTCGTGGTTTTGCAGAACAGTGCGCGCGACGCGACGGCGGAGCTCGCCAGCTAGCGGGGCAGGCCAGTGATGTTCGATGCAGTGTGTTGCCACGATGCGGCGCCAAGGGTGTGTGTGTGTGTGCTTGTCGCGGTGTCGACGCGCTTGCGAGCAGTGGCGCGTTGGGAGCTGACGTCGCGCAGGGCGGCGCAGGACCCTGCGCCGCCGCGGCCCCAGCCCAGCGCCGGGCGCCCGAGACTGCCGCGAGACCTCGAAGCAAATCACGTGCCGGCCCTTCGACTGCGAATCGTCCTCGGTGAGCGTTTACGATCGTCGGCCGCTCTTTGATCTCTGGTCCTTCGTCGCTCACGTTTCTGCTCCCACGGCTGGGGGAGAGGATGGGGAGAACATGAAGAGGCAGGTTAGAGGGACGAGAAAAAGGGACGCTGGGATCGACGCTGGGCTCCCCTACACGCGCTGCGCGCGCCAGGGGTCGGGGGTCAGCGCCGATCCTAGACATCCGCGCGGAGCTCCGAAAGCTTATGGTTGTGCTATTCTCCTGTCCTCTAGAGAAGGAGGACCACGTGAATATCGAAACCGTTGGAGCGAAACGGCACGCTATCCGCTCGCATGGCACATGGCATATCGTGTCGCCAGGGCCGCCGCGGCGACTACAGAGGAAGAGAGAGGAATGGGAATAAGAAAGAGACAGAGGAGTACTACAGAAGAGGACGGGGGAGGAGGATGGGAACCGAAGAAGAACAACCTGCGCAAGCATAAGCTTTCGGAGTTCAGCGCAGATTTCTTGGATGGATCGGTGATGGGCTGCCCTAGAGACACCTCTGGCGCCGCCCCTGGCGCGCTCCGCGCGCCAGGGAGTCATGGGGGGGGCCAGTGCCGATCCAAGAAATCCACGCCGAGTTCCGAATGTTTCTGTTTATGTATTTTCTTTTCTTCTTCTGCGGAGAAGGAGAGACACGTAATTATCAAAGAAGTGCCCCATTTTGCCATGCGCGATCGGACACAGGGAGCTGCGTCTGTTGGAGGAGGAGTTGGCAGATGAGCAGGGGATTGCAGAAGAGCTTCGGAGAGGAGGAGGAGGAGGAGGAGGAGGAGGAGGAGGAGGAGGAGGAGAACCGCGCAATCGTCGAGGTGGTCGGACCACGGATCGCTGCCATCCCGGCTGCTTCCGCCTGAGGCTCGGGCCGCAGCGGCGCAGCCGGGGCCTGGGCGCGAGTCGGTTTAGGGCCCGGGCACCGGCACCGGCACTGGCGCTGCGGCCGACAGCGCTCCCCGGTTGGAGCCAGCTGGGGGTCTGAGGCGGCCCATCTATCGGGAGCGGAAGCGGAATAGAGGGGGGTGAGGACTAGGGGGGGGGTGGATCTCATGGCGGGGGCCATGATATCTCCCCAGATTTCATGGCGCCTCTTCTTATTTCATTACGTCCCTGGCCCCCCCGCGGGGCCGCGCACATGCCACCGGTCATGATTTGCACCCCCCCCTCTTGGGCACCCCCCTCTTGGCCGCTCCCGACCATCTAGGCCTCCCAGATGGGGTCCGAGTAGATGGGGCCGGTGGATCGCGCCGCATCGGCGATGCATCGGAGATGCGGCTCGATGTGTAGCCCGATCTGCTTCACGTCGACGTCGCCGATGCATCGCCCACGTCGGCGATGCATCGCCAGTGTATCGCCGATGCATCGCCGATACGTCGCCGATGCAGCGCCGATGTATCGGCGATGCGGCGCGATCCTCCGGCCCCATCTACTCCGACCCCATCTGGGAGGCCTCTAGCCCAGCACTTGGCTCCGGCGAGCAGGAGGGGGTCGAGGTCGGAGGCTCGTGGCTCGAGAAGATTTCGGTTTTTGTTCGGCCGCGGGGGTCCTTTGCGGGCCCCCGGACCGTCAAAAACGGATCCCAGGTGAAACATTGCACCAGGTGGACCCCGGGAGGGGTCCAGGGGGCGTCAGATTTTGAAAGGGTTTAGTCACATCCCCCCTCTTGGCAGATGTTGCTGGGGCCCCTCCAACTCAGACCCCCCAGCCGCCTCGAACTTCACGGTGCGCTGGCGCAGTGGAGCTGGTGCCATCTCTCGGCAGCGTACACGCCAGGGACCGATTCGGAATCGGCATCGGGGACAAAGCCAGACTTGCTCCGCTGCCCCTGGTTCGGGCGTTGCGCAATGGAGGGTCGGTTAAAAGGGAGGTGAAGAAAGAGGCGCGAAAGGTGCACGTCCCTTCCCCCAATATGTCGCCCCCCCATTGAGCAACGCCCGACTTGAGTTGTTCTCGTCCCATCCATTCTGTTTGCCCTTAGCACGCGTGCCGCACATCCGCCCATCTCGCCGCCTTTCGCGTACGTGCTGTATGCCCCCCCGGGTGACGTTCATCTTCATGTGTTATGGTTGACGAATTGGCGCCTTGACACGTTCTCTTGTATTCCCTCCACGCCCAGACCCCGTGTCGCTTTCTCAGTGCCGAAGGCGCCTACGGCGGACTAGATGGTGGGCCAAAGTTTGACAAAGCCATTGGACTATACAATGTCCTTTCCCAGCTGCTGTTGAACCACTTAGGGGGGACGAAGTGAGAGGAGGGGGAGGAGGACGGGGAGGAGGGGGAGGAGAAGGAGGAGGAGGAGGAGGAGGAGGAGGAGGAAGGGGAAGACCAAAGTAAACCGAAGATGCATCAGCGATGCTGCAATACACCCTCCCATCCCAAGTTCCCCCTCATAAGTCCTTACACGCTGCCCTTCACCAACATATGAGCTCCACTTGGACGACAGCGCAGTTGGACCTGCCATTTTAACGAGGGCCCCGCTTTGAAAACGCTCCCCTCCATCCCTTTGAGACGAGTGCGCGCGGCGCTAAGGTGATATCTACAGTTTGAAAGGCAACCGCCTTCCATTCGTGAGTCTGTTTCGTTTCTTGTCGAGTGTCCGCGGCACCAGGGAGAGAGAGCCACGTTTTGAAAACCACCCAGCCCCACCCTTGAAACTTTTGCGCTAGAGCACGAAACGAGTGTGCGCAAAGCTAAGGTGAGAGCAACCTTTTTTTGAAACGACCCACCTTCCATCTTTGAAAATGTTGCACATGCAAATCTCCAGGGTCATAAAAGGTGAGGAAGTACCATGGCTGACGCCCGGCCCGCCCTACCGAAGTGACAAGTAAGGGTCTGGGGCTTGACCGTGAGGCAATCAGCTAAGACCCCTACTCTTAGGATAACGTCGGAAACGTATCGAGGTATCCCATATTTTCTCCCTTGAAACAAGCAAGATGAGAGACAATATATACGTCATGGGATGGAGGGATGAACCATCGGTGGATGTGGCCTTTATCCGACGCTCAGGTTCGGTAGTGTCACGCTGACGCGAGCCAAGCAGATAGGGCAGCGTTACCTGGAGCCACGGTAGCGGTGGTAGGATATAGCGTTCGCTAAACAATCCCCCGCTAACTCCGTTCCAAGTCGGGAGGGAAGGGATCGAACGCCAGATCCAGCCCCACACTATATCATAGCAAGCGAAGAAGTAAGGTAGGGCGATCGTTTTTCGACAACCCCAACAGTACACAGCCAAGGCAAAGGGCAAGCAGCGCAACGTATTACGACCGGTCGTGGGCAACCCGTCGCGACCAGCCACATGGACAGTCAAGGGCAAGATCTCATGATTTACCACCGATGGTTATGGATAGTCGCGGCCAAACCACGTGACTACCCGAAGCTAAGTAGGGGAACGTCTGGCCAAATGCCAGACGTCAAAGCGTGCGAAACTTTGCGAAGCACAGGGGGATACCCGACCAAATCGCCAGGTACCAAAAAGAGTGGCCTGTGTCCGGGCAAATAGGTATGTGGAGCCCGTGTCCGATTTCAGATTGGCTGTAAGTAGCCAATCGCAGCCCGTATCCGAGCTTAGATTGGCTGTAAGATGACCGGTCATATACCGTATCCGCTGGCTCTGGGCAGGGCATCCCTAGGTTGATGCTGTCGTTTCGTTGCCACATTCTTTACCTCATACTTGAAGGACTGGTTACCTGTCATTACTCGCAGCAGCAGCGCACGATCAATACAGCCTTCGGTATGCCCGCCGGCTGTCATATCACTTGAATCACGATGCTGTACGTTGTGAACGATGCTTTTGTCTATTATTTGTCTTGTCCAGCTGATATGTCCCAGCAGGGCACATTCGGCTGGCTTCTTCCAGTCTTTACTTGACAAAGATCTGAAGACCGATTCAGTTTCCATGGTAAGGATGGCCTTGATGCTGAGACCACCTAACTTTTAAATGTTTTGAAGTTGTGTTGACGTTAGTGGTCCAGCCTTGAGCTCTCGTTTTGTCACAGTAGCTGGGTATCAGTCTTCAAGGTTGTGAGTTGCCGCCAGTGTTTCAGCTGAGCAGCTGGAACGTACCTGCTAGCGGTGTGACTTGTAGTATGCATCGATTAGATGTACTGCTGTCTTGCCATTCGGCGCGTGTCCGCGCAGTGAGAGAGGTTGACTCCTCGGATGCCATGCCCTTTTACTTCGTCGCTTTCGTCGCCGTTGAAGCGGCGGTAGCCAGAGTCACTGTGAAGGTCCACTTCTCCTGTCTTAGGTTGATGTGTTTTTTCTTTGGACATTGTTGCGGCGCGCGCGTTACATCGTTGAGCTGTCGCACCTGGAGGTTCGCAGGTTCTTGTACATGTTGCAAGGCGACTGCGTTTACCATCAACCACACCTGTTAGATTAGTGCATCTGCTAACGCACCACGTAAACTCACGAACATAGATGATACTGTCGTCGTCGCCTTTTCTGTCCGCTACAGCGCCCGTAAGTTTTGGGGTGATGCATAAAACGAAATTGTTTGATACATTCTGGTATAGTCAGGTGCGGCCGTCCTCGGTAATAGTGTAGCGCACGGCGCAGTTCGTAGAGCAGTGTTTGTTCAATTTGCATGCGCCGAACGTACTCTGTACATTTGAAAGACCTGTCGATTGCACTCCCGATTCCTGTTTTTGTTTGGTCTTCGGCGCGCTTGGCTGTTAGGATTGTGGGCCCGTCTCGAATCCCTCGTCGTGCGACGTGGGCTTTAGCCCGGAACCTCGTGGAATTATCGTCAGTTGCAGTCAGGATGCCCTAGGGGCATCCTTTGTGCTGGTGCCTGGCTTCAGACACTGCAGACGGCGTTTTGATTCGTAGCGCCGTGGCTGGGCCAGGTGGAAGAGTAAAGCAGACCGCGCGCTCTTTCTTTCACATGGCCTCTGCCAGCTCACGGTCAGTCAGGCCCCTCAAGAAAGCCTTGTCAATGTCCGTGGATGCTGTGATCCGTGGTTTCTTGCACGCGGCCGCGCTGGCGAACAGTCTTTGGCTTGCTGGACGAGCTGCACCTGAGGAGGTGGCCACGTCGAAGGCTTGCATCCATGGGGCCGCGAAGGACAGGGCGGAGTCGAAGGGTTCGTTCCACATCGCCATTTTCCGGTTGACGAACTTCCACTTGTACAAGGATCTATCCGTCAGGATGTCTGTCGCTCTTTTGTCCCCTGCGTCTTGAAGCATCTACTGTCGCGCCATAGTTTGAATTTTGTGTGCAAGGCCTTAGATGTCTGGGCCGAGTTGGCCTGTGTTTCAGCCTTCGCCAGGAGGTCGTCTTTTTCGACGACCGCCGCTCTCTTAGTATGGGCGCTCTGGGCAGCATTTGAGCGCGGGGAGAAGTCGCGCGAGCGTCGTGGCCCCTATTGGCTATCTTCTTGCTTGTCTCTAATGCTGCGGGACGGCTATTCACGGCTGAGGCGGATCCCCACCCTGCGCGCCCGCGAACGCGTTCTCGTCGCAGGTGAATGGGATTTGTCTCACGCGTGGCCGTCCCGCTGGCGGGATGCGTTTTTCGCGCGCGTTCGCTTGGCCGCTCCGCCGCCTCTTTCTCCCGTCGCAGGTTCCCCCCCCCCCCTCCTCCCGCGCGCGCGTCGCTTGACCGCTCCGCCGCCTCTCTCTCCCGTCGCAGGTTCCCCCCCCCCCTCCTCCCGCGCGCGCGTTCGCTTGGCCGCTCCGCCGCCTCTCTCTCCCGTCGCAGGTTCCTCCCCTCGCCCCTCCTCCCGCGCGCGCGTTCGCTTGGCCGCTCCGCCGCCTCTCTCTCCCGTTGCAGGTTCCTCCCCTCCCCTCCTCCCCCACAGGTCCGCGCGTCTACTTCGTGGAGAGCACCTACGTCCCTCGTCGGTTTTGCGGCTCGAAGGTCAGGACACACATGAGTACGGGTCATCCTGGGCCGAATGCCGACCCAGTGCGCAGTATGCCTGCGGATGCCGTATGCCGGCCACTTGTCCCCTGCGCTGTACTGCAAGTGCGCGCCGTATGCTGGTCCCTTGTGCGCAGTATGCCTGCGGATGCCGTGCGCCGGCAATCATTCCTCTGTGCAGTATGCCTGCAGTGTGTGCCGTATGCCGGCCATTGTGCGCAGTGTGCCTGCGAATGCCGAATGCCGGCCCTGTACGCAGTATGCCTGCGATTGCTGCCTGTCAGCCCCTCTCCGCAGTATGCTTGCGCGTGCGGCTGCATGCCTGCAAGTGGGCGCCGTATGCCGGCCATTAAGCGCAGTATGCCTGCGAGTGCCGTATGCCGGCCCCCCCCATAGCGCAGTATGCCTGCGTGCGTTGCAGTATGCCTGCAAGTGTGTGCCGTATGCCGGCCCTTGTGCGCAGTACGCCTGCGGTTGCCGCATGCCGGCCCAGTGCGCAGTATGCCTGCGGATGCTGCCTGTCAGCCCCGGTGCGCAGTATGCCTGCGGCGTGCGTTTGCCTGCCCTCTTGCGCTGGATGCCTGCGGGTTATGTCATGTGCAACCGCCAGCGCGCGATAAGGGCGCCGAGGGGGATACGTGCACGGCGCTTTCCGACGCGCGCGCAGCATCCATGGCGCTGGCTCGCTCAGACATCGTTGAGTTGCTTGGTGATCTGCCTGCTGGCGCATTCGGCACCGACAAAAATGCCATCAGGGCGCGCGCGCGCGTCTCCGTGCGTCTACCGCGGGCATGAGCCCACTCGCAGCGGCGCGCAAGGCCGATTGGGCCCTCTTCGTCGCAGCGGCCAACGCGGCGGAGGGGGGCGCATCGCCAGCTCCCGAGCTGGTGCTGTGCACCACGGTCGCGCGCCTGATGGCCGAAGCGATCGGGGCGGTCCG